TAAGACCTCTAATCCTTATCTCATCTTACGCGTTTGTAGCTGAAACTTCAAAAGTAGCTAGATCTAAAGGAAAGTTGTGCGCATTACGCTCATGCATAACTTCCATCCCAAGATTGGCACGATTTATGATATCAGCCCAAGTATTAATTACATGGCCTTTACTATCCACTACAGACTGGTTGAAATTAAATCCATTTAGGTTGAATGCCATGGTGCTTATACCTAAAGCAGTGAACCAGATACCTATAACAGGCCAAGCAGCTAAAAAGAAATGTAACGAACGAGAATTGTTGAAACTTGCGTATTGGAAAATCAATCGGCCAAAATAACCATGAGCGGCTACAATATTATAAGTTTCTTCTTCTTGACCAAATTTGTAACCTTTGTTAGCCGATTCACTTTCGGTAGTTTCCCTAATTAAACTAGAAGTTACCAAGGAGCCATGCATAGCACTGAATAGGGAGCCTCCAAATACACCAGCGACACCTAACATATGAAATGGGTGCATAAGAATGTTGTGCTCAGCCTGGAATACTATCATGAAATTGAACGTACCAGAGATTCCCAAGGGCATCCCATCAGAAAAACTCCCTTGACCAATTGGATAGATCAAGAAAACGGCGGTAGCAGCTGCAACAGGAGCTGAATACGCAATAGCAATCCATGGGCGCATACCCAAGCGGAAACTAAGTTCCCACTCGCGGCCCATATAACATGCTACACCAAGTAAAAAATGTAGAACGATTAGTTCATAAGGACCACCATTGTATAACCATTCAGCGATGGATGCTGCTTCCCATATTGGATAAAAGTGCAACCCTATAGCTGCAGAAGTCGGAATAATAGCACCTGAAATGATATTATTTCCATAAAGTAGAGATCCAGAAACAGGTTCACGAATACCATCAATATCTACTGGAGGCGCAGCAATGAAAGCAATAAGAAATACAGAAGTTGCGGTCAACAAAGTAGGGATCATCAACACACCAAACCATCCAATATAAAGACGATTTTCAGTGCTGGTTATCCAGTTACAGAAACGACCCCATAAGTTTTCGCTCTTGCGTCTATCTAAAACTACAGTCACAGTAATTTATTAAGTATATTTGTATATTTAATGATCAGGAACTCCCAAGCATATGAAAAAAATAGAACTGAAGAACGCTTGTTATTTTATGATATTATGATATATAATATGTTCCAATCGATATCGCTCATTTGAGAAAAACCTAAGGCTACGAATAAAATTTTAGTGGAATCGGGATATTTGAACCCGGATAAAGTAAACAATTGATTCAAAACCCCGGTTCGTACATCATACACGTTAAGTTTACTCTTATCCTAAATTGGATTATCTCGATCTGATTACCATGAAACTGACTTAATCTTCCGATTGGACCGTGACACGAACACCCGTTTTCCCATCCAAAAACCGATTGACGATAAATTGAAAGAGTCTATGATTGATATTATTTGTCTACAAACATATGTTTTATGACATTTTTGATAAATTTTATTCTAAAAAATAAATAAATAGCAATTATTTATTCTTTTTAATAAAAATTCGAATGAGAAAAAGATCTGGGACGGAAGGATTCGAACCTACGAATAGCGGGACCAAAACCCGTTGCCTTACCCCTTGGCCACGCCCCATAGTCCAAAAAGTAAAATGAAAATAATTATTTTGTGATTTTGAATTCAATATCACTGAAATCACATCCCTATTTAAAATCAAAATTATAGAATACACTCTATGCAACTAGATTGAATAATTCGTGTGAGACTCTATCCAGATCTGCCACTCGTTGGGCGACGCCTTCTTTTCTATGAACAGCCCACCACTGAATGATGAACTTTCCAGTTTTCGCCTCCGACCCGAGAAAAGACACGCCCTTACCCGCCTGAATGGAATTCATATCTCCTTCGTCTGGGAGAAAGCCCGGAGAACCAGGCTTGCTTAGCTTACAAAGCTAGCTTACTAAGGCGAAGGAATTTGTCGTTGATTGCACGAGTTAGCCAGCAAACCCCCCTGACTCATCTCTCTCTCTATAAAAAACTATAAAAAAAGCCCCTTCTCCTTTTCATAATAATCATAATAATCAGGTAAGCATCCAGCTCTCGATCCAGAGCTACTGCTTCAACAATCAACTGAGCTCAGGTTTGAAGACGCCCGACCAACGTACGTAGTCGCTCGAAGAGGGGAGTCCCTCTCCCATAGGTCGAGTGACTTCGTACCTCTCCCATAGGTCGANCCGATAGCACGTAGCCGATAATGAAGACAGATATATAGTTTGTGTGCAGTGAAGGATCTTTCTTCGGCCCAAGCAATGCCCATCCCATGTCTTTCTTGGTTGGATTTCACTATTCGTTGAACATAGGACTATAATAGGACTATAGTATAGGTGTCGGATGTTTCCGTGAGCAGTAAGCAGCAGATCTCCCCTTATTTTGGGAAAGCTGGTGGCCGCGTGTGAATTATTTAAAGGCAAAAAGGCAAAGGTACGTAGTCTCTGAATGAGTTTCACTATTCGTTGACAGAGATTCGTTGTTCGTTGTTGAACATAGTTCAACGTTTGAAACGAAATGAGTGTAACAATTCGTTGACAGAGATTCGTTTCACATAGTGTTGAACTATGTTCAACGTTTGAAACGAATCTCTGTTCTCTGTTCTCTGTCAACTCATTTGAAAGAGGTACGACCAAAGGGAGTCCCTCGAAGAGGGGAGAGGGATGCGAAAGCCCCGTCTCGTATCACGGGCAAACGGCCGACTACTACTAAGAACCTAAGAACCTAACACGATCAGAACGAAAGGTAGTTCGCTGGGCCTGTATTTTGATCCCAGAGGTGCTGGTTCGACTCCAGCTTCATAGAACCGTTTTCGAAGATTCTACTTGCATTTCCCCCTACTGAAGGAATGGATTGTTTGCTAGAGGTACGATAAGGCGGTTTTTATACAGAATAGAAATGTTACCAAAACGGTTCTGCGATGCCAAAAGGAGGGCATTTCTCAGCGACAGCGGAAAGAAGACCAATAAAGGGTGGGATCCGAAGGCTCAGTCCCTCAAAGCGTACGGGGAAGCCGAGAACGGTACGGGTTTCGGTAGTGATTCAATTGATCTGGTAAGCTTAGGTTAGTGGTTTCGACAGGTTTAAAAGCTTCAAGCTTACAAAACAAGACCTAAGGAGTTCTCCGCCGGTAATGGTTCTCCATTGTAATGGTATCTGCTCGAGGAGCCTGTCCCTGCCCCCTTTGTGCACAGCTCTTTCCCTGGGTCTACCCTAACCGACACTCCCTTCTACGCCGGATTTCCTTTCGAAGGTAATGCCAATTCTCTTACTTGGAACAAGTAAGGAAAGGAGAGTTTCACTTCGATTGGGTTTGTGTTCAGCCTACATATCATGCTACAAGCAAAAATAAATAAAGCACCCAAGCTTGCTTCCCTCAGGTTCAGCAGATCCCGCTCTAGCTAGTTCCTTCGGAAGCTTTGAACCGTAGTCTTTCATACCGTTCAATGATTATATATTATAGGAGAAGGCTTTCTACGGGATCCCTACAGTCGAGTTACTGCGTACCTCGTAGAGTTACCAGCCTGTCTACTGATTGGATAGCTTATCTAGTCTTTTCTTTCCAAGAGGTGTTGGGATTCCTTAGACTTCGACTAAGCTAGGACGAACCTTCTTTCTTAAAGAGCTGGACTGGGCGTCTCACCTTGACGTCGGGCTATGTTATAACTTGAAACTTATCCGAAATTTACAATTACTGGCTGTACGTTATAAAATCCAACCGTCACTCGTCAACGCCAGTACCAACTGATAATTGGACTGGGAAGTTGTAAATCAGTGAGAACTTCGGCTGGGTCTAGCGCCCTTCGCCAAGCAAGTTGTAATGGAAATCGATACCGTCAGGAAGTGTCATTCATCCGATGCTGTAGTTCACTAGCAATCTATCTTCACGGGAAAGCTGCTCAGTGAATGATGCATCGGACTCAGAAGCGGAACTACTAGTGCCTACCTGTGGGGCCCCTATACGTTTACATCTGACATGGGGGGGTAAGTTAGAATCTCATTCTAAACCTTTGATTAGTAGCGATAGTACTGAATGAGTTGAACTATGTTCAACGAAATTCGTTGTTCGTTGTTTCACATAGTGTTGAACTATGTTCAACGAAACATAGGTAACATAGTGAAACGAATCTCTGTTCTCTGTTCTCTGTTCTCTGTACCTCTAGCTCTCATTTCGCGCATGCGCTTTGCGCTCTTGGCTTAACAACATCAAAGAGGAATCGAACCTCTTCCAGTTCTGTGATCAATCCGTTAGTTTAGCTGCAACGGCCGCAGACGTTGGAAAGGTCGAAGTAAGCTGTGGGGAGAACCGTGTGTGATAGAATTGTTTTCAGGAATGGAATCCGAAGCTCTGTTTGAGAATGGAAAAGCATTAGCAGGGCTGTTAGCCATTGATTCTAAAGCATTTTGCACGTATGTGAATAGGCGGCACTGGTATTTTTTATTTTTATTCCTTTTGCAGCAGGAGGTTGAATAGTATAAGAAGATGGCATAGAATCGACGGAGGGCTAAAGGCTCTTGTCTTTTATTTGCTTTCTCCTTAGCCTCAGCCTCTCGTCAAGGGAATCAGCTGTGGTTAGCTTTCGCTACGACCCTTCTCTTGCTTGAGAATGCACTGCTGGTAGGAATAATGCTGACTTCATGTCCGAGCTGGGTGAATCCAAAAGGGATCCTTAGTCCCGTATTCAAACAAGTACGTAATTCGTCAGTAAGCGAATAATCCTAGTCGGGCTGGTAAGCCTTCATGAGTCCACAGCTATTAGCTTTCGCATCATTCCATCTTCACCCAGCTTATCAGTTCAGTCAGCTTCTCCCGCAGCAATAACTTACCTATGATGATAGATCTTGGCCTAGTGTGAAGTATCATCTTATTACCTGAAAGGAGTTGAACTATGTTCAACGAAATGAGTGTAACATAGTTCAACGAATCTCTGTTCTCTGTTCTCTGTTCTCTGTTCTCTGTACCTCTGTTCTATATATTTTACTACTTCGGATGAATGGGCCGCTCTTTGATCCGCGGAATAAGGCCTACGAACTCTCTGTTTTATGGCAGAGATCTCTCCACACCAAGGAAGCGGGGTCGAAGACCTCCTTTTCCTTCCAATTAGAAAAATTCTATCTCTTTCTTACTTGGTCGACCCCGACTAGATGACCTTCTAGTAAGACATGAAGTAGAATCGACTGGAGGCGTGATTATTCTTCCGAGCCACTTATACAGTATATATACAGTATAGAAAATTCCCTATAATGTTGTCTAACGTTTTTTTGAAGTATTTAAAGACCTCGCTCTTGGTCCTTTTCTTTGACGTTAATCGTCTTTGAGAGGCGATATTTGGTTCGTGACCATGGCATCGCCAACATGAGTCTGTGTTCGGTTGTTGATAAGCTGCTAGTTGGTATTGAGTTTAGGGCTTTTTATTTCCTTTCACTTTTCCTAAGGGAAAGTCACCTATCTTCGTAGTTCCGGAGACAGGAAGGGTGGCATCCGACCTGCTGGCTTCTCTGTTTACCGCGAAGTGAGGGATGGGAGGGAGGCGAATAAAGCAGCTATCAAAGCTATGCTTGTCAATCGAGTAGGTCGGTCAATGTTGTCTCTACTGATTCCAAGGTGAAGGAACCCAGATCAGCTCAGAAGGATCCACGCTGGGCTATAGCTAAACCTGCCCTCTATCAAAATAAGACTTGGACCATCGTTTCCCGTCCAAAGAATAAATAAGTTATCGGCTGCAAGTGGTTATATAGTTATATACAAGATCAAGTCAAAGTCTGATGGAGCTCGTGTGCTAGCCTAGCCAAAGGCTACAACCAGCAAGAGGGTATATACTATGATGAGACATTCAGTCCAGTTATCAAGATGGCCACGGAAGATATAAAAGACGTTGCCCTGAGGTCTCCTATTGGCATATACTCCTACAAGGTGATGCCTTTTGGTCTAAAGAATGCTTACCAGCGAGAAATGACCAACATCTTCAAATCACAAGGTTGAGTGCTATGTAGATGACCTCTCTCCTAACGAGGAGAGTTTCCGGAACTTAGTATCGTACCCTTTTCATTTTATCTTCAGACCTTGTCTCAGACTCTGCGAACCTCTCTTCGATCGAGCTTCTTTCGCTTTTCCTCGGGTTTATAAACACCAGCTTCCACAACTCTTTCAAAAACGGTAGCAAAGCTTGGAGTGGACTGAAGTGCTGGACTTCCATTAAGGCCAACAAGTTTTTCACTGGCCATGCCTTAAAGAACGAAGCTGTTGAACTTTCCGCCCCGGGATTGGGACTTATTTTCCAATCTTTTTCAAAGCCAATCCTGTAAGAATAACACAGGAAGGATCAGCCAGGATAGATATTAGACAGAACATACTTTCCTAATTTTCCTAATATAGTATATGGTATATAGTAAAGGCAAGCAGGAACTAAGACTAAGGTGACGTGAGGGTGAGGCAAGGAACTGGATGAGCTTTATACGAAGCTTGCTAGCATGTATGTGAGAAAGAGGTACGACCAAAGGGAGTCATAGGTCGAATGAGTTGAACTATTCGTTGACAGAGAACAGAGATTCGTTTCACTATGTTACACTCATTTCGTACCTTTCGTCACTACGACTTGGTTTCGAAAGAAGGCTTTCACTCGACCAAAGCCCTTAGCTTCTAACTTCATTCATTCGAAAGGTCGATCATAGCTGGAATCCGGAAGAAGGCGGGAGCTAGCTTAGGGGCCCGCCCCCTCCTCAAGTTGGTCAGAAAAACGTTCTCATATTCTCATAGACTATATTGAGGAGTTCGAGTATTGGCGGGAAGTCTTTGCTTTTTCATTAAAAAGGACGCGCATCTACATATATTATATCTATTATTAGTTTGCAATTTGATGCTTAGATTTATTTCATATTTATTTTAAACTGCACCGAAAATGAAAATCGTACCTTTCAGAAGGGGTTAAGCCCACCTAAGGCCAGCAACATCGACCTGAGACACCAAGCAGTGGATGTAAGACTAGAAGTCCACAAACTCAAGCAGTTCGTAGGCCAACCATCAGGGAACGGGGTGAGGATTGGAGGAAACTGCCGAAAACCCATCATGAAAAGGGCCCAAGAAGGCTAAGTCGGGAAGGACACTCACTGCTGGAAGATATTTCATATCTCCTGAACCCGTGGAAGCACCACCAGAGGTACGAAGTCGCTCTGAAGAACAGAGAACAGAGATTCGTTTCACTATGTTCAACGTTCAACTCATTTAGTTCAACGAACGACGAATTCTCTAGCGACTAAATGAGTGTAACATAGTGAAACGAATCTCTGTACGTTGGTCGTACCTCTCCCGTTGGTCGAGGGACTCCCTTTGGTCGTACCTCTTTCGAATGAGTTTTCTAACTACGTTCAACGAAATGAGTTTCACATAGTGAAACGAATCTCTGTTCTCTGTCAACTCATTTGAAACGAATCGTGAAACCACTTTGCTACATCCGCCTCAACCTATGAAATAGGTTTGTTTGACTTTGTTTGCTCTAAAGGGCAACAGGGCCATTGGGGTACTTTTCGCACCCCCTCACGAGGTACTCATAGAAGAGGCTCCACCCCCGGGGAGACTATGAAAGGCCTTTAGTTGTTTTATAAGAACCTTCCAACATACTCCTCTGATTGCTATGCCTCGGGTCCCAGATCAATTGGATCGTTGATCTGTACCTTCATTCGTACATGCACCTCGAGATCCCTTCTTCCAGAGAAGCCCCCCCTATCTATTCATGATTCCGGATCCAGATATGGAACTGGAATGGGCTATGCCTTCACCTATGCTATTGGTTTTCAAACCAAAGCATTTTTTGTCTTGAAATTGAAAAGGAATAGGCCCTGGATATTCTATCGATGACTGGTTCAACCCAGGCAGGCAACGTCCATATCAATGCTTTGACAATGAATTCTTCATCTACCGATTTATTTGAACTATGCCTCATCCCTCTTCGAGCGACTAAATGAGTGTAACATAGTGAAACGAATCTCTGTTCTCTGTTCTCTGTCAACTCATTTGAAAGAGGTACGACCAAAGGGAGTCCCTCTCCCGTAGGTCGAATGAGTTTCACATAGTGAAACGAATTCTCTAGGGACTCCCTTTGGTCGTACCTCTCCCGTAGGTCGAGTGACTATCTCTGTTCTCTAGGGACTTCGTACCTCGGAACCGATAAAAGTCCCTGCTTGACTTAGATGTGTTAAACATATCGCTAATGGAAGAATGTTGAAAATCCTCTTAGGAGGGTGAAATTGGAGTTTCGATTTCTAGTAGTTAGCTAGCGAAGCGCAATCGCAGTTTCAAGCGAGCGAAGCGAAACCAAAAAGCCTATTCCGAAAGCCGTCTTTCCCAAAAATAGGGAGGCAAGGGTACGCACCTAGTAGCTGCGAGCCTAAGATCAAAGGCAGTTCCAAAAGCAAGTTCAGCTTGAGAAAGTAAAGTCTCAGTGCCAGTTGTCAGGTTAGGAAAGCCAGGTATGATGAAATCGAATAGGAATTGATTCGATGTTCTTATTATAATATGAAGATTCAACTGAATAGACTGTTTTTCAAGAAGGAATCGCCATCACCAGTTGAAGCGACCTCTTCCTCCTGAAGTCTGGAAGAAGGAAGAAAAACCAGTCAACCAAGGAGGTATTGCTCAAGTTTCTTGCCTCTTCCCAAAGCCGGAAGAAAGTATTTACAAGCATCAGCGAGCAAGCCAGGCAGTCCCCATGGAAACCATAGAGGAAGGGCATCCTCCCATTACTGGAAGCGGCTCAAAGCAAGTAGAAATCCGGGGATTTGAATAAAAAACAAGACTCGTAGATAACCTTCTTGCTAATGAAGATGGAGCTATGACTGAACTGCCTTACTGTTCGATGTAAGAGAAGCTCTTGCATCGGACATTCAGTCAGTTAGTGCAATCAGTGAATACCAGGTCGAAGTTAAGCTCCCGGCATTCGAGAGCAACTTCGTACCTCTCCTTTTAGTCGAATGAGTTGAACATAGTGAAACGAATCTCTAGGTACGAAGTCCCCGAGTTAAGGCTTGAAAGAGATAGCCAGCCTGCCCGGGAGAAGGCATCTCTTACTATTGAATCTTACTATTGAAAATCGCATTTTCCAACATTCCCTTGGGTATCCAGTCACACACTTCCTCAGGCTGTGGTAGACAGAGCCGAGGAGCAGAGTGCCAAGAGCGAATTGACGACCAAGGAAGGGAATGCACCGAACTTAGCAGTTGCTTATTAGAAGGCTGAAGTCCTCACAATACATCTTTAAGGAGCTACCGAGGAAGAAAGCAATAATGATAAAAGGTCCCTGATGACAGCTTATTTTATTAGAGAGAGAATGCTCCTGCTATAGCACCCACCTTCGGTCGAGATAGGGAAGAACTCTCGGTAGAGGGTTCAGGTTGAGTTGAGGCTTCTGACAAGGAAGGGGAACTAATGAATACAGAAATCACTTACCGGATTGCGCCATAAATACTAGAATACTAGACTGATGGTTAGTCATTTCCCTGATAGCAAAGATTCATAGTTCTTCTTCCGAAGGTGAAGTATCAGCTCATTTCGACCAACTTCGTCGAATGAGTGTAACATAGGTAACATAGTGAAACGAATCTCTGTTCTCTGTTCTCTGTACCTCTCCCCTTTCGCTGTTTATACCTGAAGTCGAGGAATTTCCGTAGGATTTCAGGATAGTTACCAGCCTCTGGTTAGTTTATTAGTTTAGGTTACCCGCAAAGAAGGGGTGGTATCCGGACCGGGGTCTCCCCACAATAACTGCTGGAGTTCGAGCATCTAATACAGGAAGGATTGAAAAGGCCCCTGCAGGCTATGGTATCGGAAACAGATCTGGTAGTTTAGCTCTTCTGCCCCATTAGGAGTTCCTTTACACTTCTTTTCTCAGGACTTATCGGAACAACAATAGCCATTCGCTAGCAAGACGAACCCACCGGGTTTCTTTCTGAAAGAGGAAGTGAAGCCGATAGAAAGCAAACCTTTAGAGAAAGTCGCTCCATTAGCTTCCGTGGGTTCTTCTTCACTATTCCGCTTTCTTTTTTTCTTTTAGAGCAACCTACGGTTAGCGAGGAGTTCCTATCCATGATCAGACGATTCTCCGCCACGATACCCTCGCATGGGTTGTTGAGGTACATACTCTAAGCGTGCCTTACTAAAGAGGATAGAGCCCTNCATTCGCTAGCAAGACGAACCCACCGGGTTTCTTTCTGAAAGAGGAAGTGAAGCCGATAGAAAGCAAACCTTTAGAGAAAGTCGCTCCATTAGCTTCCGTGGGTTCTTCTTCACTATTCCGCTTTCTTTTTTTCTTTTAGAGCAACCTACGGTTAGCGAGGAGTTCCTATCCATGATCAGACGATTCTCCGCCACGATACCCTCGCATGGGTTGTTGAGGTACATACTCTAAGCGTGCCTTACTAAAGAGGATAGAGCCCTTACCGTCAGTAAGATTAGTATGCAAATAGGTAATAGAGAGATTCTCTCTTTTCAACCCTAGCCTCGGCTTCACTGTCATGAGGACAATCCAAAGGTGTAAAGGCTAACTACAGGGCAACGATTGGGGGATATTCCTCATGAACTTCCACCAGCCTTTGCTTAGGATAGGTGGATTGAAACTCCTTTTCTGCTTTACTGACTGACTTGTCTTACTTAGTTAACGTAAGATAGATAGAGCAATCTCTCCAACTCTACCAACGGTAGCTCATTTAGTCACCGTGCGCTAAGCCCGCGGGTTAGGATCAAGGAGTTGGTTGGTGGCATGGACACCTACCTATCCAGCAGTAGCATGAAAGGTGGATTGGATNTCATGAGGACAATCCAAAGGTGTAAAGGCTAACTACAGGGCAACGATTGGGGGATATTCCTCATGAACTTCCACCAGCCTTTGCTTAGGATAGGTGGATTGAAACTCCTTTTCTGCTTTACTGACTGACTTGTCTTACTTAGTTAACGTAAGATAGATAGAGCAATCTCTCCAACTCTACCAACGGTAGCTCATTTAGTCACCGTGCGCTAAGCCCGCGGGTTAGGATCAAGGAGTTGGTTGGTGGCATGGACACCTACCTATCCAGCAGTAGCATGAAAGGTGGATTGGATGCTTCCGTTAGAGCTTCTTCATCATTTAAGGGTAAGGGCACCTAGCTAAAAATCACTAGTGAAAGAGTGCCAACTAGCGAATCCATTCATTTCCGTGAATACCGAGTCATTGAAAAGAACAGTCATTTGTCGGAACCCTTCACCTTTGAAAAGAAAGGGTCATAGCCCATTAGTCTCCCGATCAATATTGAGTGTTTGGCGCACTTCTATTAAATCTATTAAAAGCTATTAAAAGAAAGCGAAAGCCCCCATTCCCCAATTGATTAGTCAAGATAGCGAAGTGAGTTAAGTTTTTATAATTGTGTATATATGTATATATAATAGAAGAGTTGTTTCCTCAAGTGTGTTAGTTGAACGAAAAACCTTTGCCCAGGAGCTCATAGAGCCGGACCCTTCCTTTCACCTTGGGACTCACGGACACAGATTTCGATCCAGAAGCTTACTTTACGAGCATTGAGTGAATACCAGCCAAGGGGAAAACAGGCTCCATATGATAGTGTGTCTGTCCTCTTTACTTGCCTTTTCAGTTGCAGAATGAGAAGCATTATGAATAGATAGAAAAGAAAAGGTACGAAGAACAGAGAACAGAGAACAGAGATTCGTTTCACTATGTGAAACTCATTTCGTTTCAAATGAGTTGAACGTAGTTAGACGAATAGTGAAACTCATTTGAAAGAGGTACGACCAACGGGAGTCGCTCGAAGAGGTACGACCAACGGGAGTCGCTCGAAGAGGTACGACCAACGGGAGTCGCTCGAAGAGGTACGACCAACGGGAGTCGCTCGAAGAGGGGAGAGGAAGTGCAGAGTTGGTCAAGTGCTCTCTCTCTCCTATGTAAACCTCTACGGAAAAAAGAGTTTCACTTCGAACGAAGGGTTGGTTGGTTCCTTTGACGCAGAGCAAGGAAGGAAAGATTCAAGGGAAAGTGGAAATTCCGGAAATTCCAAGGTAGCTTGCTTACTTAATAGTAACTTAATAGTTGGAAGATTGAGCAGCACCTTACGGCCTTCTATTCGCTCGTAGAAAAAAAGGGGGGCTATAAGTAGGCGTTTGCTATAAGAGCAGCTTGCCCCTTTATACGGCTTGAACTCATTTGTCAAGCAAACAAAGCACAACCAACCAATAGAGAGAGCGGGCTAGACCTAAAGATACGTATAGTCAAGTCAAATAAAAATACGTAATGAGTTGAACATAGTGAAATACCTAAGACGTATCGACGTCCAATTTTCCCTGGGAATCCCAGAGAGTTGATGTTGTGGCTCCGTCTTCTGCTTCCGTGAGAAAAAGTTGCAGAAGTGCGAAAACACCCGGAAGTATGCTTCCCCGATTCATTAATGGTCTTCCCCGGTTTGATTGAATACCCGAGAACCATAATCTTTCCTAGAAACAGCTTCTACGACGATAGGCATAAAGGCATGATTCGTTCCACAAATCTCACTGCACTGACCATAGTAAACTCCTTCTCGTTGTACCGAAATAGAGGTCTGATTTAAACGACCAGGTACAGCATCACATTTGACACCTAAGGAAGGTACAGCCCAACTATGAGGTACATCAGCAGATGTTACAATAATACGTAAATGAGTTTTGGCTGGTACAACCACTCTATTGTCCACTTCTAATAAACGTGATTGACCCAATTCTGGATCATCTTCTGGAATCGTATAACTGTCAAAAGTGAGAGACTGTTCATCGGAACTGTTATAGTCCGAATACTCATAAGGTTGGGTCGACGCCCGCCTCCCCCCAAACTGTACTTGCAAGTTTCCCCGCAAAAAGCTCTCCACGCCTACTCTTAGAAAGAACACTTTTTTTCTTTAGTTAGGTAGTTCTCCCGAATGAGTTGAACTATTCGTTGTTCGTTGTTGAACATAGTTCAACGAATCTCTGTCAACTCATTTGAAACGAATCGTTACACTCTAGCAACTTCGTACCGTTGAACATAGTTCAACTCATTCGGTGGAGGAGTAGAAGCGCTGGTCCCCTTCGGTAAACTTGCTGTTACCTACCGTAGGACCTCCGTCCCCGAAGCGAAGAAAGAGGTTGTCCTCTCCCGTTGGTCGAATGAGTTTCACATAGTGTTGAACTATGTTCAACGTTTGAAACGAAATGAGTTGAACTATGTTCAACGAATCTCTGTTCTCTGTCAACTCATTTGAAACGAATAGTTACACTGAACATAGTGAAACTCATTCAGAGCAACTTCGTACCTCTCCCAGCCCAGTAGTTCCGCAACTACTACCGTGGTTGTTGCCAACGGGGATCCCCCATTCCGAAAGGTTACTAGGCCGGCCGTTAGGTCCAAAGCTATGGTGCCGATAGATTCACTACTTCAGCGCCGTTATCGGACATTGCAGGCTGAGCATATATTTCTCGTATATCGTTCCACACCGAGAAGAGGGATGTGTACCTCCAGCAACAACAAGAATGGAACCATAGGCTCCTATGCACGGATTCGTTTATCAACTCATTGGGTATAGGTCTAACTCCCCGTTTCTGGCATGCTATAGTTATGAAAGTATCTCGACGGTAAGCCAGATGCTTCGCGAACCATATGAAACACTTCAATCACCCTCGTGAAGAGGCGCACTCCGATACCATTGATGTCCAATAGCTTTGATAGTCATGGCTGGATCTACTACTACCTCGTCCATTGAGTATAACAGAGCAAATGATGGTATAGCAATGAACATCGGGATGATACTAGGAAATATGGTCCGAAGAATCTCGATAGTAGTTCCATGAACAATCCTTTGCGGGATTGGATTTTTTTTATAGTGGAAATGCCATAAAGCGCGAACCAAGATCCATGATACGAAAACCAAAATCAGAATGAGGAAGAAAAAGATATCGTGATGTAAGTCTATTATTCCTTGCATCATAGGTGTTGCTGCGTCTTGAGATCCTAATTGCCATGGTTCCGCTGCATCACAAGGAGCAATTGTGAGGAATAGCCATTCTAGAACAATCATTTGGTTTGGTTCATTCTTTGACTGCTCTGCTCCCAAGAGAGACTTGTTCTTGCTCACGGAAATCGCCGGTTTGTCAAACCAAGAAAGACATGGGATTGTTTGGGCGTAACATTCTTTATCATAGCTTTATCATAGGGAATCTGGATAATCCGGAATGCTCATAGATTGTTTCCTGAGTGTAACTATTCGTCTAACTACGTTCAACTCGATTCGTTGTTCGTTGAACTAAATGAGTTTCACTATGTGAAACGAAATGAGTTTCACATAGTGAAACGAAATGAGTGTAACATAGGTAACATAGTGAAACGAATCTCTGTTCTATAGCTACTTCGTACCTATTTCGTTACACTCATTTGAAACTCATTCAGAGCAATCTCTGTTCTCTGTACATAGGTAACATAGTGAAACTCATTCCGATAGATAATGGAGACAGATCTCTGTTCTTCGTACCTATGCCGTGGCATAGAAGTCTCTCGCGCGGGCGAAGGAGATGCATTTCTGGTACTGGTGGTATTGGACAAGCTCTCAGGGAATAATCTATTTATTATTTTCTTATTTCTGCCTTTCTTTCCCATGAACAGGCAAATCAAAAATTTCACTTCGAATTTCGGACCTCAACATCCTGCTGCTCATGGTGTTTCACGATCAGTATTGGAAATGAACGGAGAAGTGGTGGAACGTGCGGAACCACATATTGGATCACTCCAGTGCGGCACGAAGCCGCTGATGCCGAGTCGGCTCCTATGCCGCTAGCTATGCCCTGCTTGGTCCCCCGGCACGGTGGAGGTTCCGTAGCGCGTCATGAGCACCGGGCTAAGGCCGCAGGCGGACGCGCGGTAGCGTTCGTGGCGGTTGAGCAACTCAAGCGAACCGCCTTACCTTATTACAGCATAGGTACGAAGAACAGAGATTCGTTGAACTATGTTCAACACTATGTGAAACAACGAACAACGAATCGTTTCAAATGAGTTTTCTAACTACGTTCAACTCATTCGAAAGAGGTACGACCAAAGGGACAGAAGGGAGAAGGTTGTGAAGGTGGCCTCGTTATCCATACCCCCGGTCGGATGAATGGAGGACCGACCGGACCCGGGGTTTCACGAGCGTTGGCGGGTTCTGGAGTGCCTGTCAAGGGCGCTAACGCATACCCCGGGGTGATCATCACCACCTGCACCTCACATCTCGGCACAGTGGAACGTGTAACCCGCCTGCTGTTCCATTCCACTACATTTGTTCCTGTAATCCATAGCCTAAAAAGATACGTATCTCACGAGGTACGAAGTTGCTCGAAGATTCCTCTTCGAGGTACGAAGTTGCTCGAAGATTCCTCTTCGAGGAACGAGGAACGAAACGGGAGAGGGACAACCCGCCCATACAGCCAGCGGGGAGGATGGCACTACTGGCAAAGACCGTCTGGCGAAAACGCCGCAGGCGCGAAGCGTGGTAGGCCTGCGCCGGGGGAGCATAGCATAGGGATTTCACATAGTGAAACTAAGGTACGAAGAACAGAGATTCGTTGAACTATGTGAAACTCATTCGAAGAGGTACGAAGTCGCTCGAAGAGGGGAGAGGGATCCCGGACGGTGGAAGAGCCAGGGGAGGCCGGGTCATTCGACGGAAATGGAAGGCCCTATGGAGTGGAAGTGAGCTCGGAGCTATAGATAGAGTCAACGGTACGACAGACAGCGCTGCCTACACGCGAATTAGCTTCCGAATGAGTTTCACTATGTGAAACAACGAACAACGAATAGTTCAACTCATTCGAAGAGGTACAGAGAACAGAGATTCGTTTCACTATGTTACACTCATTTAGTTCAACGAACAACGAATTTCGTTTCAAAAAACTCATTCAGAGCAACTTCGTACCTAGGTTGAGCAGTCTCAATTTCACTACAGGATTTGCGAATGAATGCCTCGAATGGCGTGAGCCGCATGCGGGGAGACCCGCACGTACGGTTTGAAGGGGGATCTGGTCGAAAAACCGGCCAGCACCCACCCGACTAGAGGGACTGAGAAATTAATAGAGTATAAAACTTATCTTCAAGCTTTACCTTATTCTGATCGTTCAGAGGGCGATCGCGGGGTCACTGAATGAAGTCCTCCGTTTATTTCGGAGGTGCTGACCCGCAGCGAGGCAGAGATGACTAAGTGACATATGGAATATGGCGACGACAACAGCATGTCGTAGAAGGAGATAACAAGTGGAGCCAACGACCCACTAAGACTAACCTATCTACAACTACATCCCCGAGCGGCAGTCAAACGGGGGCGTGAATGCGAGATGCCAGCGGAATGATCGGCCGGACAGAGGCTAGGGCTGCTTCCTTCCCACCGCGTCCTTCCTTGTGTGTCGGAGATATAAAGCGAGTGCACCAACGGGAACTGGGTCGATCTATTCTATGGCGAAGCATAACTGCACACTCAAACGATCTTTGCCGAGAGATAGGAGCATTCGGTGGAACCGGTGAACTACACTTGCTTCTGGATAGATGTGTGGGACAGAGGGCTCGTGGTACCTGCTGCCCACCCTTCCTCCTCTGCTTTGAGAACCGTGTGAACGGAGAGTGGGCAGAAGAGAAGGAGGTCCTCTCCTCTTCGAGGTACGAAGTCACTAGAGAATTCGTTTCACTATGTTCAACTCATTTGAAACGAATCTTACCTCATTCGGAGTCGCACACTTACTTGAGCAGTGCGGGAGAAGAGCGAAAATGCCTCCACGAACGCGCCACTTAGGAGCCCTACTAATATTCCAATATTCCAAAGGCGACCAGCTTTCAATACTAGTTGTTACGGGCGAATGAGTGTAACGATTCGTTGTTCGTTGAACATAGTTCAACTCATTAAGATAACTCAAGTGGGAGAGCCGTGTTATGGGTGACCTTATTGCACGGTTCAGAGAGCACTTGTGTATGTGATGCAAGTGAACGTGTACGAAAAAGCTGTCGTAAAGTTTCGTTGTTCGTTCCGTCGTCGACCCTATCTATGTTTCTATGATGGCCCAAGAACACGCTCATTCTTCAGCCGTAGAGAGACTTTTGAATTGCGAGGTACCATTACGAGCTCAATATATACGAGTGTTATTCCGTGAAATAACTCGAATTTCAAATCATTCACTTGCTTTAACTACTCATGCTATGGATGTGGGAGCATCAACTCCGTTCCTGTGGGCTTTTGAGGAGCGGGAGAAATTGTTGGAATTCTATGAAAGAGTCTCGGGAGCCAGGATGCATGCCAGTTTCATACGACCAGGTGGAGTGGCACAAGATCTTCCTCTTGGCTTATGTAGAGATATTGATTCCTTCACACAACAATTTGCTTCTCGTATCGACGAATTAGAAGAGATGTCAACCGGCAACCGTATCTGGAAACAACGATTAGTGGATATTGGTACTGTCACTGCACAGCAAGCAAAGGATTGGGGATTCAGTGGTGTAATGTTAAGAGGTTCAGGGGTATGCTGGGATTTGCGAAAAGCAGCACCTTACGATGTTCATGACCAATTGGATCCTGACGTACCAGTAGGTACCAGAGGAGATCGCTATGATCGTTACTGTATTCGTATCGAAGAGATGCGACAAAGTGTTCGGATCATTGTGCAATGTCTTAATAAAATGCCTAGTGGCATGATCAAATCCGATGATCGTAAGCTGTGTCCTCCATCACGATCTCGAATGAAACTATCCATGGAATCGTGCGCCGTGTGAAACGTAGATCATCGCCGTTCTTAACCGAGACTCAGGTTAAGCTCCGTCTCGGAACCTTGTGGGGTTAGGAGTAAAGCATCCCGAGGTTGGCGCATCTCGTTAAGCGTGGAGAAGCATTGGGAACCCCAATTGATTTATTCGGAGCCGTTTCTTTTCCCGTCCCCCCGCCCCGGCATAGCGTTTCGCTTCCGGTTCTATAGAAGAGCTATTCGTTTCACTTGAACTTAGAAAAAGAAAAGAAAAAAGAATAGGTACGAAATGAGTGTAACGATTCGTTTCAAATGAGTTGAACGTAGTTAGAAAACTCATTCGGAATAATCAACTTACGTCTCCCTTCTTCATCGATCTGGGGGAAAAGGTACAGAGATTCCTCTAGAGAAACAGAGAACAGAGATTCGTTTCACATAGTGAAACTAAGGAACCGTCTACCAGTTGGGAAGCTAGACATCAAGTAAGTGGCTTGATGAGGATAACTAAGCTGACACGCCGGAGTTGGCTGCTGGCACAACAGGGTGGTGCCTTACCGCACCGCAGGCGGACGCGCGGTAGCGTTCGTGGTGGTGCTTCAGGATTCCAATGTACTGCGCCCAAGATCAGAACGAGCTTGCCGGCGGACCACTGCCGTCCCATTCTTGAGTGAGCTGGAGCGCAGCCATCTTATCCACTGAATGAGTTGAACGTAGTTAGATTTTTTGAAACGAATCGTTACACTCATTTCCTCTCCCCTCTTCGAGGTACGAAGTCACTAGAGAATTCGTTTCACTATGTGAAACTCATTCGACCTACGTACGTTGGTCGAATGAGTTGAACTATGTTCAACGAAATGAGTGTAACATAGTGAAACGAATCTCTGTTCTCTGTCAACTCATTTGAAACGAATCCATAACTAGCTATAAGCTATCGCTTCGGGTCGAAGCACTAAAAGAAAAGGACCGGGAAACGCGGCGGCATAGGAACCACGGGACCCCCTACTAGTAAAGGTACAGAGAACAGAGATTCGTTTCACTATGTGAAACTCATTTCGTTGAACATAGTTCAACTAAGGGAAAACGGAAGTGCGCTCCTGCGCACCAGCTGAAAAAGCCCTTTCCTTTCAGTCGAGTCACAAGGTACGAAGTTGCTAGAGTGTAACGATTCGTTTCAAACGTTTCACTATGTGAAACTCATTTCGTACCTTTCCCTTATTCATAATAAAATGGATAGCTCCAACCTAGTAAAGGGGCTTTGTCTAGGTTGGGTTGCTGGATACGGGATTCTCGTAGTAGGCTGGACCAAGATCCAGCCGAGAGAGGGCAGTCTTTAGAAACAACAGGTTGGGAAAGCAAGAGAACACTTGGCGTTTTCTTATCTTCTTCCCGCCCTAGGAGTAGCACAAAAAGAGGTACAGAGGTACGAAGTGACTAGAGAACAGAGAACAGAGAACAGAGATTCGTTGAACATAGTTCAACTCATTTCGTTGAACATAGTTCAACACTATGTGAAACAACGAACAACGAATCGTTTCAAATGAGTTGAACGTAGTTAGAAAACTCATTCAGTTGAACATAGTTCAACTCCTTAGGCTTTGATAAGTATAAAGACGCGAAGCCATAGCGAGGCGCTTCGAGTTAGCGAAGCGCTGTAGTAGCGCCGAAGCCCTATGTGCGTGCTATAATGCTGAGCCAAGGACGCAGTTCTGAACGAATTAGCTCCTTGGTAATGGCTTAATCTATAGATAGAAAGCCTTATGATGGGAAACTACCACGTTAGGTTTGGAGAGAGATGGGACGAAGTAGCTAGAGATTCGTTTCAAATGAGTTGAACGTAGTTAGACGATTCCGAACGAAGTCTCTGAAAGGAGATTCGTTGAACATAGTTCAACTCATTTAGTCGCTTTAGCGAAGCTTATAGGGGAAGCAGATGCAAGCTTTTCCAAATGACTACAGGATCATCAGTCTACTCTACCTCAATTCACCATTTCGAACTTTATACAGAAGGTTTTTCCGTACCAGCTTCTTCTACCTATACCGCAGTTGAAGCACCTAAAGGAGAATTTGGTGTATTTCTGGTCAGTAATGGAAGCAATCGTCCCTACCGTCGTAAAATAAGAGCACCTGGCTCTGCCCATTCACAAGGACTCGATTCTATGTCCAAACATCACATGCCAGCAGATGTGGTCACCATCATAGGTACTCAAGATATTGTGTCTGGAGAGGTGGATAGATAGGACTACGTCTTGCTCGATCAGGACCCTAGCTTTATTGCGAGCCAAAAACCTTGATAGATTCCAACATACTCAGTTTGAACAGTCTCCACGTCTCGAAATGAATTCGGAAACTATTAGCTTCACTAACATAGCTTGACTAAATGAGTGTAACGATTCGTTGTTCGTTGAACATAGTTCAACTCATTCGACCAACGGGAGTCGCTAGAGAATTCGTTTCAAACGTTGAACTATGTTCAACTCATTTAGTTCAACGAAATGAGTGTAACATAGTGAAACGAATCTCTGTTCTCTGTCAACGAATAGTGAAACTCATTCGAAGAGGTACGACCAAAGGGAGTCCCTAGAGATTCGTTAAACTATGTTCAACTCATTCGAAGAGGGAGA